AAACTAAAGTCGGTTTCCCTTTTTAGTGTAGACATAGTAGTATTAAAGTTTATTCAGCCCTTTTTAACGTCCCACTGCTGAGCACGGGCCTCCCTTTAGTACGAGGGGGATCAGGCCATAGTCCACCACGCTGGCCAAGTGCAGGTTGGCGGACTTTACATGTCTTTTGAAAACTTGCAAAGTTCTCTCAAACATACAGATTTCCTCACGATGTTTTCCTTCATCGTTAAGACAAGTTGTAATTATGTTGGAAATGATTCGCAAATAAAAATATCAGTGGATTTGAACTCGCTTCACTCGTTTTTCCAAGCGAATGCGTTACCACTGGACTATCACTGCTGTAGTAGTAACAAAGCATGGAGAAATTTATTCTAATAAAATGTTTTCTTAAGTCGTTTAAGTTAGTTTTATGGCAATTTTCATATGAAGATTGACAAACTAAAATTCGCTTTTATTAGTAACATTAAACATGTCAAATCAAACAAAATAAGCCCAAACTAAAAGTATCTACTATTAGTCGTTGAAGAGTTCCACCTATCCACCTTCTGGCCTTACCATCAGATCAGATTGACGATACCGAACTACTGCACTATCAACGAAAATGGAAACATCGCCAAGTTTCAAATCAATAAAACAATTAAAAGTAAAACTTAAATTCATCATTTGCTATTTTTCCACCCTTGGGGGTAGTATTTCTTTCAAAAGTAAATGGGACCAAATCTGAAGTATATCTTTCAAACAAAACAAAAATTCTCCAAATCGGTTAATAAGTGACGGAGTTCTGAAGTAACAAACATAAAAAATACAGCTGAATGGAGAACCTCCTCCTTTTTGAAGAAGTCGGTTGAAAATACCAAACATATAAAAGAGCCACACCATTGTTGATCTAGCTTAATGAGTTTTCTGTTTATCCTTTAATGATTAGTTGATAGCATTATGATGAAATGTAATGTGATGTAAGGCAGCGAAGAGATGTTCAATTTTTTTACCTTTCATCTTTTTTTTCACATTATTGTACATTTTTTAGATACAATAAGTACTTAATTTCGAAGTATATGAAAAAGCGTAGAGAGTAAAGACAGAGAATGACATTTATAAATATTTTTGTGCTCTATACTACTTCTATATGGATGTTTTGGAGGTGTCAATTGAGAAATTAACGTCGCCATTTGCTATCCCATTTTATATCTGCACGCGTTGAATTTAAGTTAAAGAAATAGAAGAAAAACCTGTGGCTAATATCCATATATATTTTTAAAATCTATTATTACATTCTACTAACTCTATAGACGGTAGACGGACGGTAAGCGCTTCTCATTCTTCGGGTTCTGTCTCAAGAATGAATACTCGTCTGAAATATTGCTTAGGAACAAATTTATACATAGGATTTTCATGCTTTATAGCATAAAATCCCTAAAATAAACCTATAAAGCTCCAATCCCAAACTATCAAGCTTTTCTAATAACTTTAAATGGAATTTAATATGTAAAGGAAACAAGATGCTTACAAAAAACCTTGACCTCTGATAACTTGAGTTGTCGAGGGAGATAATCAGAATTTTGAGCCTTCTGTAGGCCAAAACAAAGAACTTAGGTATGTAACCTAATACCTATAGGTACATACAAGTTTATATAACTGTATTATAAATTATCGGGTCTTCGGTAAAATACAAAATGTTCCAATTTACGAAGGAGATGGACTCGTTGTCATTTCTATAAAACTCACGGGATAGATAGATATTTTTATATCAACCTTATTTTTTGATCATCCTAAACATTTACTTACTACTACGAGTACTATTAATTACTATCTCAAAGTTCGAACTTGTAATCTACTTCTGCGTACACCAAATTGCATCAATGTCGTCATTTAAAAATAGCAAATGTAATAAAATTGCATTACTTTTCTTTTATAACGGTCCTGTATAATTTTATTCGTATCTTTCGGGCTTATAGTGCTAGATCGTTTTATTACCGTACATGCGTCCGGCGTCGTTTTACAATCATCTTTTTATTACATCGCTATTGCTCTTGATTTTACGTATTTGGTTTTCATGTATAGAGTTATGAGTACTGAACATATGTAGATATTAACTATAAAATCTTTTTCATTACGTAATTCGTCTAGACATTTAGCGATCAATTTTAGGTGACCGTAGCAATAGAACTCATCATGATATTAGCTTGTATAATGTAAGTCTAATGTATGAATGTTTTTGACTTAAAATTTACATTATATATGTATATTTTCAGAAACTTATCAAAATATTGTAACAATAAGACTTGGCATTGTTAAACATTATAATTTTAACGTAGCTAATTTACATGAAGAGGGCAGCTCAAGTAAGATCGGGCTGGTGGTTTTTATTTTGCACCTATGATATGGCTAAATGATGTACGAGCATAGGATGAGTTCAAAAAAAAAACTGTTCTATGCGACAGATGTGCTGTGGTTCATGTATGTAAGTGGTCAATTCCGGAAAAATATTTGTCAAAAAAATATATGGTATCATGATAGTGAATGGAGATAGACAATTTTATTTATTTTTAGCAATTTACCCTCGCTTCGCTTGAGTGCGGCCCTAGGTATTTTAAATAGATAAAAATGTGAGTGTACCTTAAGATATAGATATTTGTATATATACTATAGCGGACTTTTTTATAGGCCTTTATAGAATCTAATACATACACTGTTTTGATGTATTTCTTAAGGTTTAGCCAGCGTTAGCTGTGTATACTAAGGATCACTCGACAGAACCAGTCATTTTGATTTCCCGTGGGAATGAAAGATTTTTCTGCCGTAAAGGTTATTCTAAATGTTGATATAGATATAAAGACAAACACAAAAATTTTTGTAACTTATGAGTCGTACCACAATACGTAACAGTAGGTAATTGTTTTTAAAAAAATACTGAATGAACAGATTTCGCTTTTTTATTATTTTATTATATGACGTATAGATTAAACATCCTTCGTATTAACGATCCGTAAATACACGGAGCATAAGCTAAATATTAAAAGAAATATCTTTAAAAACTAAGAAGATACACAAAGTGAAGTTAAGTGAAGTGATAGTGGTAGTGAATCTAGTGGTGAAATCACAGACATTACAACTATTGTCTGTGGGTGAAATATAGTATTTTGTGACTGATATATACAATAGCAGAATTGCGGCTAAGGAAGAATTCTAATACTAGATTCTCTGGTGGTGTGTCTTTGTGTCGTCTTTCACTGTTTGAGAAATAACTTTGACGTTCATAAATACTCTCTTATAACTAACGGTGTGGATGATGAAAGAGCAACCAGACAGAATCACGGGAAAAGAAAAAGTTTAGGCCTATAGCGAAGAAGAGCATTTATGACTATTATGTAATTACCATTTAATAGTCTTTAAAATTGATTTACGTTTTTTCATAGTAACCTTTATAGAGAAAAGTGTTTGCTTGTCCTGTCCTACCTTAACGTGGCAATGGCGCAACGGCTTAGCGTGTTTTTGCAAAAGGAATGAAAGTACCAGAGGATGCCATGTACTATTTGTTCCGGTCTATTGAGTGAATTATTAGGTGTTCTATATAACTGCATCGATTGTCTAATGCAAATCCGGAGGTCCTAAGCTCAAGGTTCCCGTGTCGGGCCAAGTTCATTTACCTACTCAGTTTTTTTGTTAAGATATTTTGATAAGATCAGTAGCCCGGAGTTGGGAAGTTGGCGATGTTGCACCCCTGTGTCTCGGAGAGCATGTAAAGCCGTCGGTCTTGCGCCTTAACTATCACCCGTCGTGTCGAAGTATCACCCCATTGGACTTTGAGAATAAAAGGAAAAGAGAGTGCAAGTGTATCTGCGTGTATTCTTGTACATTATAATATCTCCTGCTTACTCAGCAAGAATGGCCGCCGAATGAGAAAAAATTACAAGTAGCTAGTTAAATATTATACATCGTGATTTTTGAGTAACAATGAAAAAAAAATGGTGTAGGACAGGCACACGAACATCAAATATGAGCTAATTATGTAATAAGACATAAATACAAAATTTATATATTTAGTCAAATAATATTATTTTTACACAATATTGTGGGTAGAAAGTGTTACAACTATAATGCTTACGTACCTAATTGGTAAATACAAAAACATAGAGAGCTTGTTACTAGAAGAGATACGGATAGAATTTAGTAATGACAATGAGTATAATAATAAAATGTTTTAATTAATATAATTTTTACTTAGATTAGATTAAATTAAAAAAAAATACGTGTATGTATATCTATTCTGTTTTTTACATTATACGTAGATATATTTTGTTTAGTTATACAAGCATCTACTTTATTTTTTTTTAAATTAATTGGTAAATTATAGATGATTTTTTTAAGTTTTTTTTATTTATAAATTGTTTTTTACGCCCCGACGCAAAAACGACGGGGTGTTATAAGTTTGACGTGTCTGTGTGTGTGTCTGTGTGTGGCATCGTAGCTCCCGAACGGAAGAACCGATTTTGATTTTGTTTTTTTTTCGCTATACGTTGTAGCTCAATCATAGGATTTTCTGATATCAGATCACATTCAAACAGAATTCTGTTAACCTCATTTTTAACTTTTCAACCTCATCTTGTAATCTCTCAACTTTCTCGCTAATGGTGCTGGTAGAAACTTTCAATTCTGTGAGATACGCTTTTATAGTATTCTGTTAGAACAGCCTTAGAAGACTAGGTTATCTGCCGTGGCCTTAAAATTATTTACTTGATCTTTAATAGAAACAACATCTTGACCCAGCCTGTGAGTTGCTAGTTTTTGTGCCTCAGTAAATTGGCCCATAAAATCTAACAGTATATCTATTTTGTTGCGTATCTCCACTAGTTTCGCTATCATTTCTGATTCTTGGTCGGGCTGCTTTCTTTTTTGTCGGTTAATAGATTGTGATAGATTGCTTTAAACAAGTTAGGATGCGATACATAGCGTTCATTTTTATTGTCACTTCCAGTTAGGGATCGTAACACATTCATGATATGTTTTGTTTTGTGACGCTCATCCAAGACGAAGCGGGAGGAAGGTAATGCAGCGGCCTGCTAATGCTTTTGATAGGTCTTGATAGGTCATAAAAAACTGGTTACGATAATTTCCGCTTTAAGCTGTTGAACTCAAAGTTCATTTTTAATCAATTTCACAAATATATTTTTACATATAAAACAACGAATACAATACACACTATATCTCGTCCAATTCGCTCGCTTGCTCATGATGTAATTAGTTATATATTTAGCTGTGGTTTTTGTGAAATAAGGAAATAAATTATTATACTGCAAGAACTCACTAGTGATAGCTTTGGCTTAAAGTTACAAAACAACCATACTTTGCATCGTGAACGTGTTTATTTCAAATATATTCATGGCATCGATACTTCATTCAGAATCTTAATAGCTACAAAGTCATTTATACTGTGCATAGTCTATCTTAGTTTATTGCTAGACATTAACAGTGAGTGATAATTTTAGATGACTTCATTATCATAATAAAAGACTACTATCTAAAGACTAAATTTCTTAAATAATTTACTATGTTTTTCAACAGAAGAAGGAATTCTCTAGAATTATATAACAATCTTGTTTTAAATATTGTTGTTCACAAAATATACCTATTACTATTAAGAAATAATTGAGGGACTTGAAATTTAATACACATCTATTAAACAACAAGGGGCATCCTTTGTGGAACAAACAAGTGTATCCCAAAGTCTGAAAACTTGTACATAATAGAAAACAACGTCTCAGTAAAACAGCTTACAGGAAAATATGTTTTTAGATATTGTGAAAAGAAAAATATTTTTATTTTTACCGACATAAGTCAGATGGTATAAAAAGAACAAAAATAGAATATAATCATATATACTTTAACTAGAATCACTACAGACCAGTGATCCCAAAAATAACAGACTTTACTTCACAGATATAATAACCTTACATACATATATGTAGGTAGTAGGTACGACTAGAAAATAGCATATTATTGTTTCATCTTTAAATTGACTTACGATTGAGAAAACTTATTTAATGATCTTCTTTTTCTTCTTGTCTTTACCCTACGCTACGCGAGGTTTGGCCATATATAATTGGCAAGTTTAGTTTATTTACAGCTATTCTAGCTATAGTAAACCAGGAGAAATGCCTGTATACGAATAAAAAATAACGTGTTTATAAACGTTGATCCATAACATTAGTACATATGTGTACAAATAAGCAGTCGCTTCGTTGTAGTGTAAAAAAAGTAAAAGTAAACTTCGTCCTATCTTTCATAAGTTGTAAATTAGAAGTCGGTTAAAAATTAAAAGGAAGACGTAAAAATTAAAAGTTTAAGCAAAATTTGCTATATTTTATTAAAGATTATGTTTCATTGTTGCAGTATTTAAAATATGTGTGTTATTATCGTTGGCGAGGGCGTCTGTACCAGGAGTGGTAAAAAAAGGCCATGCGAAAAATATCTTGGACATAACATGCTCCTTACCAGAATTCTCGAACGGGACACATTGTGAGCGATCTAATGACAACCTCGTCTGTACAAAAGGCTTCACAAATATCTGGTTGACGAAGATTAGGTTGGTATTAGCTGTCTAATTTATAATAGTATGTTTATAAAATGGAAATAATTCAATAATTTTGTGGCTAAGTTGTACCTATTTTATATATATATATATATATATATATATATATATATATACATACATATATAAATATATATGCTCGCGTTGCGAAATTACTTTAAATAATATACATACATATGTACTATACCTAGTATGTATGGCTGGCCTACACCTAAAGGTTGCCTGGAAGAAATCGCTGTTTTAGCGACAGGCGGCCTTGTCGCTCGGTCTTGTGCATTTTGCTACTACTGTATTCTTCTTTTTTTTATATTTCTTCCTATGTTGTGTGTGCAATAAAGAGTTTTTATTATTATTATTATTATCCTTAGAATACGGTCTGGGATTCGACTCCCGGGTATGGCTAGAAATATTAACTGAATACTGCTTCTGTCAAGAAATATTTTGTAGTAGTCAGAAAATTAGTAAGAGTTGTTTAATATTATTTATATCAACTGGAGTTCAACATATAAGCCATTAATTTTATTAACTAGTTCAGATGACCAAAACCTAAATTCTTAGGTTGTACATATTAGTATACTCTTACATTGCAGTTTTTTTTCTCAGAAATGAGATATTTTTCCGCGGTAAAAAGTATCCTAGGAATAAGACCCGGATAACCAATTATCACCATACCAAAGGTCATCAAAATCCCTCCAGTGGGTTTTCCGTGATGCAGTAATAGACAGACAGACAGACGGACGGACGGACGGACAGACAGGCCTCTATATCGATAATAATGACTATTTCAATTAGATTTTCCAAAAAATATTTAATGTACAGATTCGACTTAGAATTTTATTATATGTATAGATATTTCTATTAATCTTAACTAATGGCATTCATATGTTTCATAGTCATGACATAGCTCACTTGAAATTGTTTGAGTGGACGGGAAAATGTATAGATGTGGGGCAACTTCAACATTGGTTTCCTCAACTTCGTACTTTAGACATACGGAATAGTTCTAATCTGACAAGTTTTAAAGGACACTTTAAGGCATCAAGTCATATTCAGGTATGCGTTTATTTTTAATTTTTAGATAATACATTTATAATTTGAAGATATTTTTATTCAAGGAGATTGCTGTTTTTGTAAATTTGTTTGTTTCCTTAACAAAGGTAGACATTTAAGGTCATTTTATAAGATTTATTTATATGACAAATAATAGCATAATAACAATGGCGATCTGCATATTTATATATTAATATACTTAATTATATATAAAAGAATAAAATCACATATTAGTTTTATAAATTATATTTATTTGTACTAGTACCGCCCCAAGTCCAGCAGCACTTGCATCAGTATACAGTTCAATCGGTAGGTCTTCTTGGAATATTGTTAAAAGTGGTGATGATATTAGATAGTTAATTATTTTGTTTCTTACTGCCTCATGTCGTTCTGTCCACTCCCATTTTACTCCGTTTTTTATATACAAACATATGTATTTAGTTATTACTGTACATGAGTCATGTCCGCGTGGAATAGTGGCAAGAATGCTAGCCGCATTCCCCCGTTGAATGGCAATGCTGATTCTTTGGGCGAAAAATGCGCCAGCCCTCCTGTCACCAGTAGAGGTGATAAGACGGGGTGTTATGTCTTTTAAGAAGAGTTTAGCACTTTGACTCCATGGGCTAAGGGTTTCTACAGCAAATGGAATAAAAATATAATTTTGACTAAGGGAGGTGTATTTACGAAACTTAAGTAGTTCAGCCTTCTCCGCCGCAGCTCCCACTATAGACGCAGTCTCCCTGACATGGGACGGGGCCAATGTGTCAACACATGTAGCGTCCCACAATAGGGCCCGTCCCCTTTCCCAAGGGACCAGCGACAGGCCATCAGGTCTCTTACCATCATCTCGACTTATTCCAGATGGCTCAATAAGAGCAGGAATGTCAATGGTGGCAAGAGCCCTTTTGATGGTATCGTTTAGGGAACCATGACGGAAAAGTCTCCCAGAACTTCTTTTGCAAGAGAGTCCATGGAGTCCATAACAGTCAACCTCTTTTCCACAGGGATCTGTGCTCAGTGCACAGGGGTGTACCCAGCCGGAGACCTAAAGCGATACGAATAAAATCTGCATATTATACTTCTTTGTTCGGAATCATTTTCTGTATTTCTTTATTTAGTTTTTGTGTAGCTGTAATAGAGAAAGTACTCGTCCTATAAGAACCGCTAAATAATGCTGAAGTCAAATTATGAAAAATAAATAGGAGTGTCCATTTTTATAATTTTGGGCTTAGAATAATAGCGTTATTATTCTAAGATTTTGGGTTTCATACATGTAGCTAAAGAGTAAAAAAAATAATTGAGTGTACATAGGCGTGTAAAGATATCTTTGTCTTTAAAAGTAAAATAGATGTTATTAAACGCATTTTATATTTAAGTCGAGAGATTAATAGTAATAGAGTTATGCGCTTCTTTAGTAAGTTAAGATAATAAAAACATTCTAAATATAGTCAACATAACTTACTTTGAAGAAGATACGTAAAGTATGTAATGTTTGTAGCAACTTTTTATTATTATTAGGGTTTTTATAGTTTTTGCCTTTTGGATACAAAACCCTAAAAACGCTACACATGAGTCAAAATAATTCAATAAGATAGACGGGGGGGGGGGGGGGGGGTGTTGTGGTCGCGATTGGATTTTACACACGTCATTGCTGGAATGTTCTAATTGTTCATAAAATTAGTGTTTCCTTTATTACTCATTGTTTTTGAACACTAAAAAAAACAACAATAATAAATTAAGAATAATTTAAAAAAAAAAATTATTACCTTATAAGTGATCTTTTTTGGAACGCGGATGTTTTAATTTCCTGTCAAAATTTCTTTCTTAAATAACCTTAAAAAAAGTATCTGCGCCTCTCTTCACCCAAGTGGAAAATGTTTTCATAAAAATGACATTAATGAATCAGTTTAAATATTATTTCACAAGTTATGACCGGGATTAAAAGTATCTCATGTGTTAGTTAACTTAAAAATAACTAATGAAATATATAAATAGTTGAATGACAATTGAAAAAAAATTTAATTCACCTAATTATTATTTCATAATTATAGAGAATATCAATGTATGGTCTTACATCGCTATGGGAGGTTCCGGCAGAAATGGTGGAGAAAATGGTGCAACTGCGAGTATTAGATCTCAGAAACAATGCTCTAAGGCATATGAAAATAAATCTTCTACGAGAGCCTCCAAATCTGGAAGCGGTGTACCTTAGTGGTGAGTTTTTATAAGGATAGTAAAAACCCTGTTGAAAAACTCCAATAGAATCAAATAATAATAAATAATAAACATAGAAATCAATAAACATTTATTGGTTTCTATGTGGCTTTTGTCGCTTTTGATGGGATCCTATTTGAGTTTTTAAATAGAGAAGGACGCTCGGATTTTGATTTTATTTGATGTGTACAAGCCTTAGGGCTAACGACGATTGGACTGATCTGTGCTAAAGCCTTTAGGGCTTTGTAGTTGTAGTTTGTAGAAACATTGTATACATTGAAACACCTCGATATGACGTGTTATCAATGATATCGATGTTTTATTATGAATGTATGTTGAAAAAGTAAGTATGTTTTTTGTTGTTGGACACGGTGGAGAATAAAGTGCAAAATAAAATACTCTCATATATTATAAAATATAGTAGGTATATTATATAAGAGCCTCAATACAAAGCCTAATATAATATACTACACTACAACAGCAATACAAAAACGTTCTTCTCATATAAAATAAACATTTCTTGATTGCCTAGTGTGCGTAATACCTAAAGTAAAGAAAGAGCTTTAGGTAGTGGTTGTGTATACTGTAGGTACATATATTAATGAGTTTTTCTACTAGGAAATACTCAGCAATACTCAGTAAAGTTTAGAAAACTGCCAAGTAATCTGTAAAACGCCCATGTTATATTACGCGGGGCTTCAAAAACATAGTTGGTGAAATATGGGTGTATAATACATATTAAACCTGTGTCTACCCTATAGGACATTCCGGAGGAGACACTGTAGGAGGCTAGGATGTACCTAGACGTACGTATAAAGAAATAAATTCCTTTTTATAAATATACATGGCTACTTAGAATATTGGCGAGTTAGAGTAAATTAAATTCTTCCTTGTCCATCTAGAGGATATCATAGATTAAAGGAAAAGGGGATGGAAGATTTGGAAATCCTGGAGAGCAGCAAATTTCTGACGAAAGAATTCTTTGAGTCAATTATTATTATGTGTTTTCTAGTTAAGTCACCTGAAATTATAAGAGCTATCTTATTTAAATTCTCAAAAAAAAAAAAAAAGATAGGAAATGGCACTAAATAGTAAATATTACTAAGGGGTGAAAAATAAAATTTAAGTACCGTATAAAAGATATAAATATTTAAATTGAGACACATATGTATTTCTGTTTTTTTATTAAATAGTTGCCTCCAATATACTTTTAACGAAAATTATTATTTGAACGAAATATCTAAGTAGTTTTTGAGATATGGCATGTTTTCAGCTACTATTTAGATGCAATATTAACTTTATTTCTTATAGAAATACTATGAAATACAAAAATTAAGTTATACTACTTATGAAAAGAGTATTGTAGATGGGTAAATATAATATATTATGTTACTTTTTTCATAACATATTACATGATATATTAAATATACCATAAATTATATTTTTTATGCTACGAAATCCTCTATTTCTATCTATCTAATCCGCTATTCTGGCTCGCAAGAGCCAGAATTCGTATTCTCGCATGTATTCCATTTTTTATAATAATCCTATTTACGTTATATTTTTATGTAAATTTCAATTTATTTATTTTGAATCTCATTTTTCCAAAAAAAAACATTATTTTATTATATCTATTTTTATTTAAGTACGATTTTTAAATAAATATAAAAATATTAATTGTGTTTATTTGTTTAATCGTTCACGAAAATAATCGATAGATTTTAGTGCTGTGTGCATCACTACGCATCAAAATATTAATTAATATATCAGTACCTACATTATTTTAGATCACTTTACATGTTTAAATGTTTAATGAAAAGTGTTAAGTTTTCGTATATGTGATAATGCTTGTTTGTTCTTTTATAATTTTACCCTATATTCTAGTATCTTGAGGGAGAATGCCGCGAGAGCTCGATGTTAGACGGGTGTTGCATTTGATAAATGGCGGGGTTCTAGTTGATATCAACAAATTATATTTTAACGAAAAGAAATAATTCAACCTGCGTCTTTACTATTTTATTTATTGCGTACCATTATACTGAATAAATAATAGTAAACACATAAATTAATACCACATATCGATTAACGAGCTAAATTCGCTAATATATTTTAATTTCCTCCTAGCAACAACGTTATTGTAACCATGGAAGTACATGATTTACATCAAACACAATATTATGTAACAAAACACTCCATCTACTTGAGTAAACAAAATTACTTCGATTCCAGCTTTATTAATTTGTTCAGATCAGCAGTTAGAGTTAAAGAGACAGCAATGTATTTCCCGAAGGATGACATAAAATAATGAAGCTTCTATAATAAAAATGATATCTCTTTTATTACGAAAATTCGATCAATATCTGTTCTCTATTTTATTCTTACTAGCGTCACGTTACTTTTTACGTTTAGTATAGATTTCTTAGAGATGATATATTTTCCCGCAGTAAAATGTATCCTATATGTTGACCCGGATAACCAGCTATCACTATACCAAATTTCATGAAAATCCATCGAGTGGTTTTTCCGTGATGCGGTAACAGACAAACAGACAGACAGACAAAAATTCTAAAAAGTATAGATTCGGGCTCTATATCGATAATAATGTCTATTTCAATAAGATTTTCCAAAAACTGTTCAATGTACAGATTCGGCTTAGTTACAATTTTATTATATGTATAGACTACGTATAGAATAAAGTGATGTTGTACAAAGAAGAAATAACATATTTCATTTAATTAATTTATACTTATAGATAACAAATGGGATTGCAGTGATGGTGGATTGGACTGGTTGGCAATGGAGAGTGAAAATGGTACTGTTCGTAACCGACTCATTGACTACTACGAATTAGTTTGCTATCAGCAGCTGTATAGGGGCAAGCCCTTGCATAAAGTTATGGACATAATACGTGTGAGTATTTTCTAAATATTTACTTACGTCCTTATATATTATATAATCCATACTAATATAATAAATGTGAAAGTGTGTTTGTTTGTCCTTCTTTCACGTCGAAACAGAGTGACGAATTGGCGTGATTTCTTTTATAGGGATAGTTGGAAGATTGGAGAGTGACATAGGCTACTGTTTATTTGGCTGGATATTATCTCATTTCCAGAGAAAACGCGGTATAATACATTCCAAAAAATATTTATGATTGGAATTACTTGAAACTAAATATTAATGCTCTTAAATACAATGAAATAAGTACGTGTTTAAGTATATTTTGAAATTTACGTTTATATTAACCCTACGTTTTTAGAGTTTTTTTGTAGTTTTAGCGCGAGCGAAGCCTTATTAGTGTAATAATGATGTATGGAAGTCTGTCCGATTTGTTGACATTTATGATTACTGTTCCGCTCCCATGAGTAGTAGCATGATGATATAATATAAACTATGGCTTTCTTAAATAAACGGGCTATCTAATGCAAAAATAATTTATCTAATCGGATTAGTAGTGCCTGAGATTAGCGCGTTCAAACAAACATACAAATAAACAAACAAACTCTGCCTCTTTATACTATTAAAAGTAATAAAATAAAGGTAATAAAAATGGGAATTGGAAACGGCTTGGGAACCTGAGTTAAAATCCTTGGTGTTGAACCTTTGATATTTACATGTGCGAATCATTCCCATCATAATTACCACTTGTCTTAAGGTGACAGAAAACATTGTGAGGAAATCTGCATGTGTGAGGAAACGTAGCAAGTTTTTGAATCGATCGCCAACCCGCACTAGGCCAGCGTGGTGTATTGTGATCTGTCCCCCCTCGTATAGATAGGAGGCCCGTGCAAAGTAGTGGGATGTTAAAAAGGCAGAATACATACATACAAAAGCGGGAATACACGTGCCTTTAGCTAGCACGAAAATGTAACGCCTACAGGCACGTGTTTTTGCCAACTTGTGTGTATATAATTGGCATGGGGGTGACAAACCATGATTTGAATGTTCAAATGCACTGTGTTTTATTGATAAAAATATTTTCATTGTTTTGTATTAGGTACTCCTTTTAAAAATTTTATAAGTCTCTGGTACCAATTTTAATACATAGCTATGAGAAGCTATACATTCTAACGACACGATAAAATTATTAATATTATATTGCAAAGGAAGGAAAAGTTTGTAGAATAATAAATGTATAAAACGAAGCAGGGAAAGTAAAGAAAAACAAAAAACAAAATTATAATGATGTTGTTACGTTATCTATTACTGTGTTTTAGTACCTAATTATAAATAAGTAGCGACTTACCTTCGCTTTGTTCGGGTTCGTCCCTAAGTACGTTTAACGGTTTGCATTAAATAGACTATATATTATACAGAGTGGAACAGATTGATGGGACATGGAAGAAAAATATCATAAATGTTGAAGTTATTTCTTTTTTTTATTGTGTCTCGACAAGATGACTCCATGACGCCTGATGGTAAGCGTCAGTGGAATCCAGAATGAGATCCATCGGTTCCGGGACCTGATCTCGATTCCGATCAACCTCACCTCGTCGGCCTGCAAGTTATTCGATGATTTAGTCAAAGGAAACATTTCTATATTTTTAAAAATAATAATAGTAACTGCATTTTTTTTAAAAGAAGTGACCTTAGTACGACTGATGACAGAATCGAACCAACTGAAAATGCAAACAGGGACACCGTCACTATTTTATCGAGTCTATGGTAAGGATGAAATGTCTGGAGCAAAATTGTATGTTACAATTAATGAAAACTGAAATCTTACAACTAGCAAATATCGATTCTAACTAATATCACAACCTTGAACCCAAACTGTTTATTATCCACGAAGTATTTATGTAATCAGCCTTTCTTAAAGTCTAAAGTAATCGGCCTCGCGTTACTGTGACTTAATTTTTAAATGGCAAAGAAATAAATGGCTTACGTGAAAATATTTTCTGAAATCAAATGTGTACCGACTTTCATACGCTTACACGCTGAACAACATTATACATCATTGTATCATCATCATATTTAAAATGTGATGTATGTTGTTGTGTTACAATATGTTGTTACAGGTAATTTCAGTGAGATTGGCCGCAGTGGCCGATATCGATCAAGAGAATATTATTATTATTATGTATTTATAAGTTTTAGTCGTTCGATGCAAACTTGCTCAATAAGCAATAGTAAGCTATACATTGAAAAAAATGCTTGTTTTCAGTTTTTACGTGTATTAATTAGACAAAAACAGCATGAGTCATTCATTCACCGCCCTACATTTTACTATTGCGCAATCAAATAATAAGTTTAAGCTGCTAGATTCAAAGAAATATTTTTACTTTTTGTTTTTTTTTCCATACTGAACACGTTTACTGAACACTTTATTGCACACCACATAAGAAAATAAATAAAGAAGTGAAATACATAACAATAAAAAGATGCACAGCAGGCGGTCTTATCGCTAGAAGCGATCTCTTCCAGGCAACCTTAGGGTAGAGGAATCAGTATATAAAAATGGTAGGCAGTGTACTTGTATAAATACATACTTATATACATATATACATACATACATACATACATACATACATACATACATATATATGTATGAAAAATCGTATTCAAATAAAGCAGCAGCATAAATGATTAGTCCTTTAAAAAAAAATTACTAATTATTGATTGTTCTTTTTTTTATTCTACATAATTGTTAAACGCAAGAATAAATTCTCATTCAGAGTCTGATCGTTCAACGATCGTATCATTCCATCAATTATCGTAATAAAATTTTCCAATTTTACATCTCTCTATTTATCGTCCGCACGTTCGCGTCAATCTTCAGCGGAGGAATGCCAAGAGCTCAAATATCAAAATCGTTATTCAACATCGGAATTTTGAAATTCTGTTATTGATGATTATTATTATTATTTAAAAACTTTAGCAACTAAAGCAACAGAAATAGTAGGACTGTAAATCTTCTCTAAATTTTTTTCACTTAGAACTTTCACATCGCCTTCTAGAAAATCATTTATTGTTGATTTAGGTAAAATGCTTATAACAAACGAACCTTTTTAAATAAATCTACTTTTTTAAAATTAATCGTCTATTTGTATGTATATATTTTATATAAGTATATACATACAATGTGAATGTGTGTGTATGTGTGTGTATACAAACATATGTATTCAGTCTTGTTATGTTCCACTGCTGGGCCTTGCTTTAATTAAAGGGAGATCAGGCCATAGTCCAGCACGCTAGCTAAGTCGATTTACTTTATAATAAAAAGTATTACTAAGGTGATATCACTGAGTCATAGGTTTCAATTTTGATTACGAACATAAATAATATTGAGTCAGCAACAGTCAATATTATCATGTTTCATTAAATATATGTATGTATCTTCTAAATATGCTGTATCTATATATGAATACGTGAAGAGAAAACTTTGAACCCCTTTTTAAGGATATTGCATGTACGCAGGAGTATGAGTTTTGGCATAATGATGTTAGATAACCTTCATCAATATTATACGAGTACTTAACATAGATGGAAAATTTGTTTATCTATACGTGCAAATCTCTGATCCATGGGCCCGTTTCAAAATTCTTTTGGATTTTATAGGCTATCTATATAACTTTGAAAAAAGAATCTCAATATCGATCAAACTTAATGAATTATGGTTGATTTTCAACCACGGGGCGATGGGGGACTAGTATTACTTAGACTAAGAAAAATATTTTCATCAACAGATGATGCGAGAGACGTGTCCTGCGTTTTGCGAATGTACAATGACGCACGTAGTGTCTGACCGTAAAGGAAAAGTTATTCCACTGATAACTGTTGATTGTTCTAATCGACAGCTCGAGAATCCTCCGACTTCCATCCCTCTCAGTACCACCACACTACGCCTAGAAGGAAATAAGGTAACATGGTATGATGTTCACATTAGCTTTACATTTTACAAGTTTATTGGATTTATTATAATTTAGCTGATATATTTTCATACAAGACAGTTTTTTTAAAAGAACAGAATTCTCCTGTTTCTTTGAAAAAAAATTGTCTTCATTTACTTGTATTTATGGAATCATTCTGATCTCAACTTATTCTTCGTTCATACTGAGAGACAACGAACGTTTTGAACTAGTGCTACTGTATACTATATACTATACTAGCGACTTACTCGCTTGAGTGCGTCTAGGTGTCTAACACTAGCTCATATATTACTCCACATCATGGTCCATCTGTGTACATATTAAATTTGGTCTGTATCTAAGGGTTAATCGTCCAATCATTAAGATTTAATTGTAAAGTAAAAATTAACTAAATTACGTAAAATCTTACTGTAGGTACATACTTTCTACAATGTAACTCATAAAAAAGTCTCTTTCTAAATTGTAAGTCTTTTTCTTTCACAAATTCTTTTAAGGATTCCTCATTCATTTTATTTATGAACTGGTAGAAAAGTTTTTTATGATCAATAATTACTTTATAATATATGTATTTAAAAAAATGCGTGTTTGACCTGGATTCGAATAATCATTATTTGTAAATATGTAGCCCCAATATATTGTGTGCTGGTATGGAATTCTGTGTGCGAGAATTCAACTTGAACGTGACCTAGTTTTTACTTCATAGCATCAAAAAAATGCTCGAACATTATAAATTAGTTATTAGAATATACACTTGCTGAGCTACAAGTGCGAGTCAAATATGTGAGTCAAGTGAAATGATTGTATTGTACGGAGTCAGCATCAGCTAAAACATAACAATGATGTAATTTAATTTCAAAACGTTGACGAGTAGGTACTATGGTTTCGGGTATCAGGTTATTTAAAAGGAGTGTATTCACATTATATTAAAATGAAAATTTATTTTCATCATATCCATAATAAGAAAAGACAAAACAAACATTAATATACGTGTTCCGCAAATTTTCAATAATGATTATAGTCCAAATTCAAAGATTACAACTTTTACATACTATTATTCTTGCTTTTGATACAAAAATCGGGGTGCTTCAAGTTAATGACGTTATTATTTACGTAATAAAATCCCTTAAACTTTTATCCACCCATCCCATATATTAAAAAAAATATTATGTTAGAAAAAATCAGTTCATTATGTTAACATGAGCTCATACATAATACATATATACACGGATAGGCGCTAATCTATTTAAGTAGTTAGTTAGTTTAATAATACTGTAGTTCAAAAGTTCAAGAGATATTTTAAATATAAAAAAAAAACAATTTTGTATAATGTACACAAAGGTTTACAGAGTACGTTTGTTTGTGTGCGTAGAATAATGTGAACAAACATCATTTCTTCTAATCGCCGGGTTCATGTTCACACGTGTAACTGGACCTAAATGTTTATTCTGTGAAATTAGAGACCTATTTAGTCTTATTCTCGAAAGTTGTTGTTTAATTAAGTTAAATATTGATTGATCATAGGTATAGTACAGATAACAATTATAATATCTATAATATAATAAAATTGTAGAGGTCGAATTTTTGTACATAGAAAAAAAAACGCTAAAAACCGAGTCAGGGGGTGTAAGAAGAGAAATAGAACAAATCCAGTTTTTTTTTAATTTTTTTGTTTCTCTGTCTGTTTGTCTATTTGTACCGGCTAATCTCAGAGACTGTTGGACTGATATAAATGAAATTTTGCATGGTGGCACCTTATATCCCCGGTCAACATCTTAGATACTTTTCATCCCGTAGGATAGATTTGTTATTGTTTGTCTAAAGGCGAACCCGAGCAAAGTGAGGGTGAGCCGCTAGTATTAAATATTAATAGGTATATTCCTAGGGTCAGACTGGCTCGGTTATCAAAGGTTTCGGAACACAAACAATTATATTTATTACTTTGGATATTATTTGGATATTAATTATTTTATTAATTATTATATTTATATTAAATTATCTATAACCAACACTTAGTCATATAAGAAAATATTGTTACACTAGCGACTCACCCTCGCTTCGCACGGGTTCGTTTCTAGTTTGCTTCCCAATACAAACTTTCATCCCCAATTCACCCCTTTAAGGGGTGATTTCCGGGATAAAAAGTATTCTTTGTCCTTCCCAGGGTCTCAAACTATCTTCTTACCAAATTTCATCTAAATCGGTTATTAGATCCAGATATTACCCCTTGAGATTATAATGCGAACGTCACAAACTCACAATTCACAAACTCACAAACTAAACCTCTTTATAATATTAGTATAGATAAAATGTGATCTTTTATTATTAAAATAACGCGTAGGTACATATACGTAAAGACCGGTTTAGACTAAGACACTACACGGTACACTCAGTGTATATGTTACGGACAACTTGAGAAGTCTGGGCAATAAGAATAATGACAGGTCTGTATAGACAACCCCCGTATCAAGTGGGCAGTGTAAGGGTCAAAGTAATAAATTTATCAATATGGCCGATGCTTTTGGTCATTATTCACAATGATCGGTTCATATTAATATTGCACGGTTAATCAGGTTACCCATAACATATACATACCTACACCGAGTGTCTCTATGTGAGCGCGAGTGTCTCCAAGTGTATAGTGTCTTGGTCTAAACCAGCCTTGTATATAAAGGTGTCAAATAGAAGTTTATGAGTGTGTTACTCTGTTTAATATTATTTTGTAGATGGAGCACGATATACTTTGAATTGAAAATATAGGCAGGTCTGAGACTAAACAGCTGTTGTTGTCTTTAGAGTTCAACTTAGGTTTTATTTATTGTACCTACGGGTAGTAATAATTTATATTATGTAATACTAAAGAAAAAAAGTTTTTCTTTCTCTGGTTGCTGTTTGTTGTAATTAAATTGTAATTAATTTATATACTTTTGTTATTGGAAAAACATAAATGAATTGTGTATCTTATTATAACCTGCCGCTTAGCTAACATCACTGAGTAGCAAAATATATAGTTTTCAACCTTTAATTTCAATATATACGAAAACTATATAATCTGCATAAATTATTAATAGTCTCGTTTTTTCCACAGCTAAATAGTATAAGACAGCTTTTGCAAAATCCTCAATATAAAAATTTGATGGATTTGTATCTTGACAATAATAGTATTCAAACGGTGAAGGAACTGGAAGGATGGGATTGGTTTTATACTTTCAGAGTGTTGAGCTTGAGAGGAAACATGTTGAAACAGGTGATATTTGTACATAAATATTAATATACCTAACGAGATTTTGTATTTGGTAGCTTTGGTAATTTATGATAATACTCATGCAAGTAACAATAACAAGATGATGTGTTTTTGGAGTGCTCACATGAATGTGTATAGTACCTAGGTACTTTACGCTTTATCTCTTTCGTCAGTTTGATTGTTTGATTTTGCGTACATCATAGAAAGCTGAGCAACTTAATGATAAAGACTTTTTAATGATTTAGAAATATATCTTTTATACTATTTTTTTAGATACCAGTATATGCTTTCGATAAAGCTTTTCAAGGTAATAACGACATAATGCATGTGTTTCTTGGCCATAACCCATGGAGGTGCGACTGCCATTTTATTCCACGATTCCAAGGACTTTTGCTGAAATATAAGAGGGTAATAAGAGATTTGAAGGATATAAGGTGCGCAATATCGGATGACAAAACAACGTCTCTTGTACAGGTAAGGTATTGAAAATAATAATATAAAAGTCTACTAAACAACATTTCTACAAAAAAATAATACCTGCAAAGGATTGATCATTGAAATGGAAAGAAAATAGATTACTGAACAACGTAAAATCACTTATAAAGTACTTACTTTTTACTGTAAGAAATTTATATGAGAGCCACCTCTATAGTTTTTGTTTACATAAATACCTATGAAAATTGGTTCACATTTGGACAATCTATTGCAGTACGGACACAAAAAACACATATATCTAAGTCGACTACTCATTCTATATTGAGTATACCAAAAGTTTACTTTAGTCGTGATTTTAAATGTTATTGGTTCTTATATGGTTAATTTTAATTATTTTTTTTTTGTAATTCTGTTTAATACCTGCCAACCAACCAATCTGAAAGTTTTCTTATTGCCTAAATATTGACGCTACACCTCCCACGCTACAGTATTACGTGGCTATATACCGCGCGGCGGAAAAATACTGGTAAAAAAAATAGACCACTGATCCTACTTTTGTAAACGGTTTTAATTTCCTTAATAGTTTATCTATTTGTAGGTTTAATACACTAAGTATAATATTTACTGTAAAAATAATTAAAACGAAAAGAATAAATCAAATAAGAGATAAGGATTATGAAAGTACATATATTTATAAAAATAAAGTAAATAGAAAACTAAAAAGAGGTTTACTTTAAATGATATGCTTACTGGGTGTATGCATATATTTATTAATGTTTAAAAATGTCAATTCTATTTTGTTCACACAATCAATATATTGATTGTTTATAAATAAAAAATGTTATATTATTTTGTGAGTTATGTTTGAAGGCAGTCAGGGGATGCAAAGAAATGCAAGTTAACTTAAAATTAATTTATTAACTACTGGCATTGCCCGCGGCTCCGCCCGCATTCAGATGACCAAAAACCAAATTCTTAGGTTTTACATATTAGTATACTCTTACAATGCAGTTTTTGTATTTTTTCCCAGAAATGAGATATTTTCCCGCGGTAAAAAGTATTCTATATGTTGACCCGGATAACCAGCTATCATCACACCAAATTTCATCAAAATCTGTCCAGTGGTTTTCTCGTGATGCGGTAACAGACAGACAGACAGATAGACAGACAGACAGACAGACAAATATTCTAAAAACTATAGATTCGGACTCTATATCGATAATAATTCTTATTTCAATAAGATTTTCCAAAAAATATTTAATGTACAGATTCGACTCAGAATTTTATTATATGTATAGAAGAAGTTCTTACTACTAAAATGACTGTCGATCGATGTTAGATTAAATCAGTGAAAATGCATATACTCGTAAGTAATGCCTTTTATACTACATTATTGTAGGAAGTTGAGACATTGGCATTGATGAAATGTAGGTGGCTGCTGCGCTTGCACTTTCGCCTGACCTTGTCTTGTCATCGCCGCGCTATGTTTGTAGAGCAAAGCTGATGTGACGATTCGAGTTCCGTAACATGTGTCGTATTTTGTTCTATTATATATATATACTAGCATTGCCCGCGGCTCCGCCCGCGTTCAGATGACCAAAAACTAAATTCTTAGGTGTTACATATTAGTATACTCTTACATTGCAGTTTTTGTATTTTTCCTCAGAAATAAGATATTTTCCCGCGGTAAAAAGTATCCTAGGATCGCGCGCTACATCGCCCGGTTTATATAGCTTGAGCAGGCGGTCGAGCGATGCGGGGCAGAGGGGATGGACTCGCCGTAGGCATCTCAATGCTCGCCAAGCATTAAAAATGTTTCGCTACTAATTACTTCTAACAACGATATCTCAAAAACTATTCATCTGATTGATTTAGTGTAAAGAGCAATTTTAATCTGCATTAAATGACTAAGCTAACTAAAATATTCATTTGGATAAGGATTAATACCGAACTAAAGAAAATAACTTTGAAAATAACGTAATGTTTTAATTAAAAATGTTAACATAAAAGTGGTTATTGTAAGTCAACCGTAAGAGATAGAGATATGCTATCGCGGACTTTTTTGTAGCATTTTTATAGATTTTGAATTCTCTAGTACATTACTTAACTGTATCTTTGCTAGTTTACGCGGCGTTCGCGTGGAAAGTTCCCATTTGGCGAGATTTTTTGCGACCTCTTCAACATTTGTCGCCGTATTTCAGCTAATTTACATAAAAGCATAATAAATTATATACCTAAACCTTCCTCAAGAATTACTCTTTCTATTGTTGAAAACCGTATAAAAATCCGTTCAGTAGTTTTCGAGTTTATCGCGTACAGACAGACAGGAGGACAGACAGGAGGACAGAAAGACGCGGCCGGGGGACTTATTTTTATAATAAGTATAGATATATATATATATATATATATATATATATATATATATATATATATATATATATATATATAAATATATATATATTTACTATTTTCAATTATTTATTCGTACACAAACTATGAATACAATTTTCAATGTCGTTACTCTTAGGGACATTGAATAATCCATATAATAATGGAAGTAAATATTTTGTATTTAGCTAATGTCATATTGTAAAGAAGTAGTAGGTAAATGTTGATTTATCTTTTTAGAAGACTTGCGTCTCGACTAGAAATCAAAAGTTGTCATATCCCGCACGATATTACTATACTAGGGTAGTTTCTTCACCAACTGACTTCACTCTGACAATTGATTTGACGATTAAATGTAATGTTCGGTGGTCAGGAGGGGTCTTGAGATACAAACAGCAGCGTGACGCTATGTAAACACATTTGGGAAAAGTAAACAAACAGTCTCTGGACTCTATACTCATTAACAATTACTGGAAATTTGATAATTCTAAATGTTGTTTATATAACATGAAAGAACAATAAGTCTTTTAAGATCAATGAAATCTTTGATATATAAAATTAAAGTACAAGAAGTCTAAATGATCAATGAAATCTTTGTTATAATATTAAAGAACAATTGATTAAAAATATGTAAACATTACATAAAAACTCATTGTTTAAGTCTAATTGAATAAACTTTCATTTCATTTCATAATATTAAGGTTAAAAATATGTACATTATTATAGGCAGAGCCTTTTTTTTTTTTTTTAACGTTGGGAAATGCATTTACGCACGACGTGTGGGACTCACCGGCGTAATACAGCCAGTACTACCCACTAAAACCCAACAAAACCTTCCCCCGTCTTAATGGGGCGTCGCAGGATCGCTTGCGCATTCAACTACGACGCCCCGACGGCAGGTCTGCCGAAGCAGACCACCACAACCATGGGGTTGCTCCACAGTCCACTCTGCTATCAGAGAAGTACCAGGAGCAACCCGCATGGTACACCGCCCTCCGAAGAGGGCCACCTCCCACCGCCCACCGAAGTGGGCAACCTCCCTGTGCGTTTCTTAGCTTCGCGCCCGGTTGGATTGCCGGGCACTACTGAGCCCCCCCACCACGACAAATTATAGGCAGAGCCTATCACATGTCTGGTTTTGCTTAAAATCTTACTAATATTATAAATGTAAAAGTTTGGATGTTTGGATGGATGTTTGTTACTCAATTACGCCAGAGCGGATGAACGGATCTGGATGAAATTGGGGACAGAGACAGATTATAGTCTAGAATAGCACATAGGCTACTTTTTATCCCGGAAAAATGTACGTTTCTCGTGGGATAGATTTGTTTTTGTTTTTGTAGAACTCGAGCAAAGCGAGGCTAAGCCGGTAGTACGATATTAAATTTTGTTGACTTTAAAGTCGCAGCGACAGTACATTGTTGAATTTTTTGGATTTTTTTCTTGTTTATTCATAGTTTATTCCCTTGTTTCAGATAAGCACAATGCCCTTAGGAAACGTTTGCAGAAATAATGATGTGAAAATGCCAATAAGTACTATAAATATTGTTAACTTAACCCTTGCAGTACTTTTGATGTCGGTTATTGGAAAGTTTTTATATGATTGGCACAGGTTTAGAGCAACTGGAAAATTGCCATGGATATCTTCAATGTTACCATAAAATTAACTTATATAACTAATAGTAATAAACAATGCTGCATTCTTATTGACTCCCACCATAACTATATTAATATTTGTGTAGTAGAAGCAAAAAATTGTTTGATCCGGAATCAAACTCTAGATCAATTGTATTAATTAAAAATACAGATATTAGTTACGTACTTCTGAATTTACTGAATGAATAATTACCATATCAAATATAAAAATATGTATAAAAATATATTTTAAATGTTTAATATGGTGTATGGCCTGATAGTGGGGCCGGAAAGCGATTAGGAAATCTTTAAAGTACACTACCTACTACGAAATATGCGATGCATAAAACTTTTTTTTATTAGAGCTTTAAGATTCAGCTCTAAGTTTTGTATGGCATAAATTATCTACACACACATTCACCTAGACATATCACCTACATAATATACAAGTGATGTTCAATAAAAGCTTGGTTTATTTTTAGTAGTTTTTAAGAAGCGTCTGTCGTTGTCGATTTAAAACTTAAGTGTGAAATTTCGTAATTTTTAAGTACCCATTTTTTACTTTTGTACCACTTTAACATATTTTTATACTTAAGAAAAGATTAAATATTTATGTGTACAATTGTTTCAAACAAAAAATAAAAACATCTTTTAACGAAAACAATTAGGTTTTTACTAGATTTCTCAATATGTTATTAGAAATTTCTTAACAAAGGAAGGGTAGGGTGTCCTTCAACCATGTGCTTACCGGATATAAGCTATTTTGTATAGAATATAATACTCGTATACATAAAAAGTGATTTGTACATCTGAATATTCATGCCATGTGGTACAGTACTTAAATGGCTATGAGCATGTCCAATGTAACAATGCCTTAGTGTTTTCTTTGGGTTGCCACAGTTCTGTACCTGACTTTCAAATATTTATTGAAAATAACAGCTGAATTTATTGATAGCTATTATGCAGCTTTGCAATAAATGCTTTCGTGTAAAATAGGATACGTGATTTTGATAATATCGTCAGTGTTTATGATGTGACATACAAATTTTTTGGTAGCGTACTTTATTAAAGCACTAGCATTGCCCGCGGCTCCGCCCGCGTTCAGATGACCAAAAACCAAATTTTTAGGTTTTACATATTAGTATATTCTTACAATGCAGTTTTTGTATTTTTTCTCAGAAATTACATATTTTCCTGCGGGAAAAGTATCCTATATATTGACCCGGATAACCAGCTATCATTATACCAAATTTCATCAAAATCTGTCCCGTGGTTTTCTCGTGATGCGGTAACAGACACAGAAAGACAGAGAGACAGACAGAAAAAATTCTCAAACTATAGATTCGGACTCTGTATCGACAATAATGTCTATTTCAATTAGATTTAAAAAAAATAAAATATAAGGAACAGATTCGACTTAGTTACAATTTTATTATATGTATAGATTAAGATTATTTATTACTCGTAAAATATGCATTTATGTGGCCTATAAGTGAAGCATATAATTATTATAAAGGGATCCAATATAGATCTGTTCGCAAAATGTTTACAAAATGCTTACAATTTAGTTTTACAATTTTCTAAGTCCTGCTATAAAATTGAATTCTACAAACTATTTTTTCAATTCCATAGTATGGTCAAAGGACCATATCTTAAGATGTAAAAGCATTTTGCTCTCTATCTGGTAAGCAGATGGTCGAAGGACAAAATCACTTCGAATTATAGATTGTATTTAGCATAATATTAGTTTCGTGTTTATAAAATAAAGTATCATTTCACAAGTGCCTTCTATTTTATAAGTATATTTTGAGGTTAATGTAAATAAATATATAATAAGTAATTTATTGTATGTATTATAATTATTCATAAGCTCTAAGGCGGCTATCTACACTTTAGCTCATTTTTGGCAATGTAGAAAAAATGAATTTCTTCTTAACTGTGCAACTGATGAATAAATGTATAAGCTATATATAATCTATGCCCTATGGGTACTTCTCTTACACGGTAACACGAAGATAATGTCATGGAGTTCAAAAACAAGCTAATATTAACGTTTTTAAGTTGGCAATAGCCGTATTTGATACGGTTAGTATCAAGATCCAGAATTAGCCGGATTTGATACCGACTTTCTTTACAAATAGCCGTATTTGATACACACATGTGAACCAAGATGGCGTTGAATACTAGGGCTGGCCAGAAATATAATAAGAAAAATGACGTGTGGATATTATGTTTTATTATTATGTATTATCAACAAATAAATTAAAACGAACAAATTAAAGTTATAAGAACTTATCACAATTAAAATGAATATAAAACAAAGCAGTCTGTTACACTCGCAAGAATATTATATTCTAATTAAATCAACATTAATTAAATCTTTGGAAGTAAACAATACTGAAATCTTTGGAAATCAAGAAAAAAATATATTTTTTAAAATTAACAATAATTAAATCTTTGGAAATCAACAATAATTAAATGAAAAAATAACTCTCTTCTAAAATGCTTTTCAGCAATAATAAATAATCATCAAATTGAAATTTAAATTCGCAAATCATTCGATTCATCGAGTCTCTCTTCGCAATAATCTTCTGGGCTGAATTTTGTTGGTTTAACAATATCCTTAACAGCTTTTCTCCAGTCACTGACTAGACAGTCTACCCCTAAGTTTACTAATGTCGAAGTTTTACCTATAATATTTCTTATTTCATCGGGGTGCAGGAATACTTCGTACTTTTTCAATTTTTTTTCGATTATACTGAACTGTCTATCTGCAGGCATAAAAGAATGTCCGGTGACGGGAAATATTAATTCGATACTTTCGATGTTTTTGTTTGTAAGAAGCCATTTAGAGCAAGCTCCAATCAAAATACAATTTTTATTTTGCCCCCCGCAGCCATCTGCCACCAGACGTACATATTTTATACCAGTCATATCAGTATTAGATAAGCGGTGGAATACCGAAGAGGCAACTAAATTCGAGTCCTTATTATACTTATTTTCGGTGCAATAATAGGCAAAAACTCTGTCTTTCGATAACGGCAAGAGCGAAGATCCCTCCACCATAGTCAAATTATAAAAATACAATTGTCTGGTGTAATAAGACATTTGATACGGCAGCTTCGGAAGTGGCAAATTTTTTTGGCAATCAAATGATATCAATTTGGTTCCTTGGGGTTCATAACGTAATTTTTCAAAAAAAGCCTTACTTCTGAGTGTATGGACTCGTTTTTCTGTTAATAGAATGTTCTTTTTTTTCCCGAATCATTTTCATTCTTAATTTTTTTCTGTTAACTCCAGACACGTAGAGCAAACATCTGCTTTCGGTGATCCAAAACCTATATTATAATTGCAGTTATGTTAAATATACTGCGAAAATATGACTTCTTCACTCCGGATATGTAACATTCACTGCTTCTGTACAAATCATACAATTTCCATATATTTAGATCTGAACTTAAATATTTTCTTTCTGCTGTCTTTGTACGCCTACAATAATGTGCCTCAACACATTTTAATTTTTGAATAAATTTATGTATAGACTCTCTTTGTGGCCTGTACTTTTTTCTTTGTGGTTTCCACCACGTCTTTCATCGATTACCACGTCTCCAGCATAGTGAAATCTATTCATTACTAGGAAACCCTGTGCTTCGTTATACCATAAATAGACAAAAAGAAGTCTTTACATATAGGTATTCTTTATACTGCAAGAATTTAAAATTATTGAATCCTGATCTCTTTTATTATTATAGCTGTAAAACTTTGTGTGTAAAGCCATCAAGTTTGCCATATTAAGAGAATTGCACTGAAAAGATTTTGTAGAATGATCACACACCCTTTCGGGTACATTTTTCGCCGAGTACCTGAACAATAACAAATTTAATATTACAATACTATCTATCTATAACAAAATGTTTAATTAACAAAACTATATAATTCTTTTATAATGAAAATGTATAATTAAATACTAATAATAAAAATACTTTAGATACGATAAAACAAAATGTTCAACCCTAAGTACTCACTTCATTCTTTAAGCTAGATTTCTTTTCCAGTTTTCTGGATTTCTCCCTTGTTTCCGCGCATATCGATTATTTACTGGTGTCAATTGACTATACATATTATAGAATTAAGCAAAACTATGTCGTTTTTATAGCTTTAACACTTAAAAATTGTTTAAAACTGACTACAAAACTAAACGCAACCGCTTGATTCTTGAATTCACCGTCGAACCAATACGCGCCTGTGATTGGTTGGGACATTAAGATAGCCATTTTTGAAAATAATATCATTAAAATGGCCGTATTTGATTCTGTAATGTAACTTTGGATACGATTTACAAGGCAAATAGCCGTTTCTGATCACTAACGATATCTGGAACATTTTTGAATCAAACTTTACGGTGCTGTCACATAAATAATTTAATTTCGCCAAAAATGGTAGATAGCCGCCTTTGATTCTACACGACTCAAATATATAATAACAATTAAAATTGAGTTTTAATTTCTTTCTCTATATATTTTCAATCATGCTATTGAAAAGTATTTATTTCCATACAGAGATAACCGCTGCTTTTTATTTATGGCTTATATTTAAAAAAACTGTAACGATCATTTTTTTTTAAATACCGATGAAAAACTGCAAATATTATTGTACTATGGGATTCATTTCAAGAAAATTGTAGTAGATTGTTATTACAAGGATTGTCTGTAAAAATATCGACTTCTCAACTCGAGCACTTTGTCGTGTGTGTTAACGATTTACGTCAGGACAAGCAGTTCTATTTAATATTTATATCAAAGTGTGAAAGGAGATGGCGATCTACTTGAATCTTTTGACGTTGATATACGCTAACATCAAGTGGATAGCTTGAGCGAGGTTGACGCATATATTGCATAGCTTTCTATTTGAAACCTACCGCCATGTAAGTCGTCACTTAAGAGGACTGAGAAGTGTCAATACGCTGCGCGAGTACATTTAAAAAAAAAGCTATCTGTTTCATACCGCTCGCGTTGCCAACCCGTATGGCGCGATAGAGAGAGTTGCAAATCTTAGGGGCATTTACCTACATTTCCTGTGTTGAAATATTGTTGCGGGCGATATGTTTTCACTCCCCTAAACATTTACGAAATGAGACGATTTCGGTCTTATTAGATTTTCTTTTTTAGTAATTCAGTTTAATTAAAAAAAACGCTCAAGGAAGTTTTTAAGTCAAAAATACAGATATTTAGATGCTAATAACTCCCATGATACGCAATATTTTTTTTAAATAAAAACGTACGGACCTAGTTTTTCATTATATCTACAACGTTTCCATAAATTATAAATTATGAAAATTAGACTATGTTAATTGGGGGGAACGTTATCGCTTTTTGTATGAAAATTTAGTTTCACGATCGTCGGAATAGTTTTATAGTTGAAAGAATTGATTGGAGTTTCTATTGGACAAAGGTGATTTAAATTAATATTAGGCTAAGCCAGTAACACAATAACCCACTAGAGGGCTCTAGACTGGCGTACGGAACAGAGAAGAATCTTCATTTCTTATTATATCGCGGGACAATATTAGTTTCATTACAATTTCACTAAGCACAGTCAGTGATATTGTAATTACCCTAATTAAATTATTATCAATAGTAGCAACACTTATTTGTGGTGGGAAACCTCGGTCCGTGTTAATTGTACTGTCACCTCAGACCAATAAAAAAGTGTTATGTTCTTTGTTCTGTAGCTTATAGACGTGCAATTTGGGCACAGTTTTCTTCGCTAATGTCGTGTATGATGGAGAAGTTAAAGGTAAAAAAAATGTTATGCATAATGCAATATTGAATATCGTAATTCGTAAGTCATCTGTTTATTATAAAAAGCTTTCGCAGTTTTCATGATAGCGCCCTCTATTATTTATACGGTGTACTACGTATTGTAGAATATTGTAGTCCCATAAGACTGCCTACTACTAGATTTCAATACTACCTACTTCGCTATTGAGGCAGAAGATGGCACTTTATGAATAAATGGTGAGTAATATTAAAAGTACCTGAGCCAGTAAGTTCCTCTCGTCGTTTTTCAGGGAAGATATAAAATACAGCTATATAGATAAACTTAAAAAGCAAAACCCTATCTAAATACATATTTTAATCCATATCGTTAGAGCCGTGTCCGAGGTACACGAAATAAAATAATATCTATACATACAAGAATTGCTCATTTAATATCATAAGATATACGGAATAATGTATTTTTTAATTTTTTAATATACATAATTATAAAAGGCGTTCTCTCTGATTGATCGCAATAATTTCATGTTTTTATCGTTATTTTTATAAATAATTGATACTGATAGTAACATCAGAAAAGAAATTAAAATTAATTTTAAAACAACCTTAGAACGTAAAATTTAAATTATGGCTAACCCAGATCTAAGACCCGAAAAAGGGTTGATTTTTTTGCCTAAAACTATTTTAAAATGTAAAGCTGCTATTAATGTCCGTCGTCAAGGACAGAAAATATGAATTCTTAAAATATCTTGTATTATAAAACACTAGAGCAAATATAAAACAGTAGAGCAAAATAATGAAGATTTTATAATTCAGAGCTTTTTAGAATATAGGTACTCGTATCTACATATAATGTCAGATTCATATTATTGATTATCTCAACTATTTGAAATAACACCCAGGACCAGTTATAAAAAAAAAACTACTGTTACTCTAAATTGTGATTGTTAAACGCGCTTTCTTACAATTTTATTATAAATATTTTAATATCAAAATTTCTCATAAAAATGTCACAAAAAAGAGGACAAGTAGAAACATGCGTCGTATAGATAATAAACAGGACCACGGAATTCCAAAGGACGCTCTGGACGTACAATGCAGAGAAATCGTGAGGGATATAACTAAACAATCGCTAAGAACGAAAATTGAAGTTATGCGAGCGGAATACGAACGAGCCAACGATAAGAGAAATTTAAAATTTTCTCGTCTACTGAAAGCTGTGGGGGAAGCTAATGTGCAAGGAAATCGTGCCACAGAAAAATTTCTAGACGATGTAGAATCAATGATGACTCGATTTAACCATGAACCTAGGTCTCTTACAGCAAACTTATAGCAATATTATAAATAAACTACCTCGTAAAATTTTTGTTACACATTAGTAAATCCATCGATATACAAAATAGATGTTTGACGAAGAATTTAAAATTACATAAATTTACATTATAATTATTAAATAACGAGCGATATAATACAATTTCAATTTGCATCAAGTGTCTAAAGCCTTGTTAAGCTTTTAAGTTCGATATTGTGTGTGAAATGAATGCAAAAATTTTATATGCGTAATTTTATTGAAAAAATTAATGTTCACGACCTTTATTATTATTATTATTATTTATTTTCTTTACTATGATGTTTAATTTCATTCAGCTTTGTACTTGAAATAATCCCAACGAGGTTTTCGTATTTATAGTACCCGTGGCCTAGTAGGAAAAGAGCATTGTCACAAAATTTGTAGTATAGTTGCGGAAATCTCTTAGAGGGTGTATCCGGGATGAGTACAAATAAGCTGAACTTGTTTCCGTCATTTGGGTCGAGTCATTTCCTACTTCCGAACAACCGATACGGGGTAGAATTTATTGTCAGACAAATTTCATTCAACCTTAGCATTCGGCTTTCTATACTAAAAATAAATTCATGTCATACCGAAATAGTATTTCATTTGTAACGTCTAATCGGATTATGTTAATTACGAATGTTCCCTCTAAGCCAATAAATCTTACATCTAAATGGCTTACATCTCAGTCGAAGAATGCTGACTTGACGGTAAGGAAAAGCTAACAGCTAACTCAAGATTTTCATTAAAATATGCCTGCAATATTCATATTTTAAGAATATTCGAACTATGATAAAAGCTGAAATTTTTTACATGGATGGAATATGATCTAGACTCTAGAGTAACAAATAATATATTAGAAATAAAATTTGCCAAAAGTTCATAATAATATCATAAGTATGTACATAAAGTATTTTAAATACACTTGTCTTTAAACTTAATATTAAGATACTATAAATTATTATATAAATAAATATTTAACTTTTTCTTTGAAGATGCCAATAGTTACATCCAATACCATTTGAACCTCTATTAAATTCAGCTTTGTAATTGAATCTGTTCCTCTGCCAATAAATTGTTCCATAAGTGATTTATCTTGCAGTCTGACAGGCACTTCGCTGCGTAGTCGAAACGCTCAGAGCTAGACATGGTAAAAATATTAGAACTTATTAAATAGATTCGTGTAGGCTGAATAATTTGAAGGGCTATAAATGATATAAACAAATGTTAAAATGAATAATAACTTTTATATTAATATTTGCATATAAAAGGTACGTTTTAATTTTTTTGAGCGGAGCCCCAATTCTTTTTTTAAAATAAAAAAAAAAAACGATTGTGTGTATTTATGTACGTACGGTAGAAGTTATACTTCTTTGGCGTAACAGAACAAAAATAGCTAAAGATTTCATCCCGTATGTCACAACTCTCGTTTGCAAAAGGAATGCAGCTAATTTTATCATGTCGCTTTTTGGCTGTCGGTGTGCGCGCGCATCGTAAAAATTTTACTCTCATAATTTTTCACAAGCGTGCCAAAAGAAGTATAACTTCAAAAATAACATCAGCTACCTATCTGGCAGTGAAAGTCCAGTTAAAATTAGACAGACAGACAAAAATGTAAAAAGTGTGTTTTCCTTATATGTATGTAGGGTAGGTATCGTATATAATTTTATATGTATTTAGTAAAAAGCTGTTATTTTGACATTACAAATAAACACCAAATTCTATACGCTTATTTGCTTATTTGTTATACGTATTATAAAAATATTTTGTGCATCAAATTCTTTGGATAAATGTAGAGAGTTTTTACACCAAAATAGTAAACCTAAACCATGCTTAAGATAGAGTTGCTTACGAATGATAATCCACGACATATTCTAGAAAGGAATGTACGAGAACATTTTCGAATATTTCTATCCTAGAAGGTTTGTTAATTTGTGCAAAAAGGGCGGCAGTGTTTTCAGTTGAGGTTCGCAGCTAAGAATAAGAAGTTTGAAAAGAAACACCAAGAATTAATGAAAAGAAATAATGAATTGATAGTGCAATAGTAACTACTTGTGGATAGTAATGCTGAGAGACTGAAGTGTGCGTGTACCGCGAGTGGATTGCCGAAAGTGACTCGAGTAAAGCTACAGCAATAAAACATCTATAGAAAAAGCACGTGCTTTAATTTCTGATCTCAAGACCTTAGCTCGTAACAATATTATATTTACAAAAATAAATGTTTGTTTGTAAAAGTGTCTTTCTTTCAAGCAGCAATAATAATAATAGTAATATCAAGTTTAAAGATTTCTAGATTATAAGAAAAATGTTTACGAACATAGAGTATAGTGAGTGCGTAAGTGAATTGAGGGAGAATCACTAGTCAAGTACGACCAGTAACCAGTCAGTTGAAGGCTAAAGCTGATGTTAGCACATAATGAAGTCGTTCGTCGAAGTACAATGCCTTCATTATAGCGCGGAACCCGACTTGCTTATAGCAGCAATGCTGAGCTAAGCGAACGTTCTCGCCGTTTTTGGTTGAATCATAGCATAGCAATTAATTTTCAAGTGAGGAAGGTATTTCTATTGAAATAATCAAATTTAAAAAATCTTTTCGAATATTTTTACATGTATGGGCGAAGTGCGGGTTGGCGGAGTTCACATATCTTTCAAAAACTTGCTAGATTTTCTCAGACATGCAAGTTTTCTTACGGTGTTTTTATACAGCGTAAGATAAGTGGTAATCATGTTAGAAATGTTTCGCACATGAAAATATCAAAGGTGCGACACCCGGGACTAGAACCCCCTTGACTCGGTTTTCCAAGCGAGCGCGTTATCACTGGGCTACCTACCATTGCCTTTATTAACTAACTTGTGCTCAGAAATATAATTTCGCTATGTTTGTTAGAAGCACAACCAGAGTGAAATAAAACTAGATGTTACAAAATATGTACCTATATACTTTGCAATAGACGTAGTATTTAGCATATGATTATTTTTTGGTATCAGATTCACAATGACATTATTATTGTATGTTTTATGATATATTTTTATATTTGGGGAAAAAATCAATTTTTGTAATAAGCTATCAAAATATTATTCTATACTTTGTGATACCTAAGCTGACAATATTAAAGCTCACTTAAGTTTCCAGGTGGAAGTTATAATGCACTTTCAGTTAACTTCTGAGATAAGTTCAAAGAGTGCGGTATTCATGAGTTAACGTCAAAGGTTTATGTATAAATTTGATAAGGAAGTTTCTTCTGCGAATTTTTATCGTTAATAAAAATATGGACTGTTTGATTTAAGATAGAAAATCTATTTTTATCAATCAAAATAAAGGGAAATCTTACAACCACCCTCTATACTTTATACTGTTTACATACACATTTAATGTTTTTATTTTCGGTACCAAAAGCGAATGAGCTTTAAATTACATATCACATTAAGAGGGCACCGAGCTTTTTATTTTAGTAGGACCACAGGGGTCTGGGGGGTTGTTATTATTAAAAACCTGATGAACTTCCTTGAATTATTTACGCCGATGTAAGGGTTTATTTTGTTTTTTAGAGATCGTTTAGGATTTTTTTCTATCGAACAAACTACAAGTAAACGTGTTTCTAAAGTGTATGATTTATAGAATAAATCCATAAATATCCTACATATTGATTGCATAATTAAAGTTTTAGTAATAACAATACAAGAAGGCATCAAACGTACGCAATTATTGCGTAATTGCCTCGGTGTCCCCTTAATAATATAGAATAGTCAAGAATTAGACACCACAGATACGGCGAAGGACTGATTACTGTAGTATCGCCAACCTCCCACCTCGAGCAACTACTGAGAATTCCTTGATAGAAACACGCAATAAAAAATCTGGATCGGGCCATATACAGTATATCCCGTACAGTGTAGGCCCGATCCAGATTTTAAGAGTAGGATCACCGGATCTTAAAAATTGTGCGTGCTTACCTTATCGAGGCAGTTAAATTAGAGAGATTATATTTGAAATACTGTAAAGTTTTGACATAAAGGAACTACGACTATAACATAGTCTACAGTACCTTAACACAGTTTTATTTTTTCTTAGATATAATGCTAGTTGAAAATTTTATATGTAGTATCGATGACCGGTAGTCATATATTATACATACGTGTTTTCAAGTTAAGCCATAATGGTTCTAGCTACTGGATTTTCAAAAATGTATAGTATAATACTACCTTCCCAGTAATTTATAGAACTACGCTTATCTAAAAGTATTAACATCTAAGAAGGATATATTAATTATTATCATTTTTTTTAATTTCCCTTACAAACTTTTATCCCCATTTTCAGGATAATGATTTCTGGGATAAAAAGTATCCCACGTCCTTCCCAGGGTCTGAAACTATCTTCTTACCAAATTTTATCTAAATCGGTACAGTAGATCCAGAGATTACCCCCTACAACCTCACAAACTCACAATTCACAAACTCATAAACTTTACTTCTTTATAATATTAGTATAGATGAAATATTATTTAGAAATGGTGGGTTTTTAATATAAACCCTTAAATATTGCTTATGCGATATTGCCTCAAACAAGGCACGAAAAATAACGATAAAAAAGGTAGGATACCTAAGTACAGCGTTTTACAAATAGGTATAACTTGTTATTGTGTTCATCACATCATGCATTCTTAACCTTATAGTTCCCATCTCGCTTGTAGCAATAAGGATATGTGTGAGTCGCGTCGTTCCAGGAACATTAATTAAAGCAAGCTGTCAGTGCAAGGAGGTGCGGCTACATCACTATTAGTCCAAAATAAGATGGTCTCGCTCTTAAAACCGGATGTTATCAAGTCCGTAGAAACATGCCATAGGAGTGTTATTTCATATAGATCATGTTATAATGGTGAAATTTGATGTGCACTTGTCCGTTAGACGGTTGGCACTTCAGCTATAATCATACATGTATGAGTAAAGACGTAACTTCTAAAGATTTATATGAGACGTTATTTTAAATTAAAACTTAA